GTGGTAAAGTGGTAAAGTCAAATGTCATAAAGTCAAGTGTTCGTAAAGTCAAATGTACTTGACCCCATGTATTCTCTATGTATTTTCTCTGCGGGGCTCCGCACGGAAGAACCCTTCGCGATGCTTTCGGGAAAATCCGGGTACAGAGGCGGAGAGGGTGGAGGAGGAGGGAGTACCACCATGGTACCAGCTAGTCACTAGTCACCAGTCGCGCGAAGCGGACTACGAGAAATGAAATGAAGTTTCCCCAGAGAGCCCAATACCCCTNNCCCTTAACCCAATACCCCTTAATTAAGGAATGTACCTTAAATTATAGGGGCCTTAATATTATGATTTAAGGTATATTCCTTTATTAAGGGTATTGGGCTCTCTGTGTCGCTTTATCATCGTGAGAGGCGGGCTTTGATCGGGTGTGCCGCTTCCCTCTGCTTGAAGAAGGCCCTTGTCTGCCCTCGGAGGCCCTGGCCGCTTGCCCAGAGAGCCCAATACCCCTTAAATAAGGAATCTACCTTTAGTCATAATATTAAGTATAATATGAGGTATATTCCTTGGTTAAGGAATATTGGGTTGTTTGGGTGTGGGGTTTGAGTGGGGGGAGCAGGCAAAGAGGTCCAAAGGAGTCCCGTCATCGGCTTGAGTGCACGAGCTCACCAGAAGAACAATCAGAGACGGAGGGCGGAACCACGCAGAAGCAACGAAAATAATATAAATAATAACGATAATAATAAGCTGATTCATAATAATAGTAATAGTATATAGATAATAAAAATCATAAGAAGCTAATTAATAATGATAATAATATAAATAATAAGAATAACAAAAAATAATAATAATAACTCGAAAGCCCTCAAATCGGTGCCTCTGTTGTCAATGAGCCGAGGCGGTGGTCCATTGTCTCTCAGGTGCCATCCGTTTTTGTCCGGAGCTGTCAGAGTTCGGGGTTTAGGGTTTAGGGTTTAGGGTTCAGGGTTCAGGGTTTAGGAGCTTCTGGGCCCGAGCCTACACGTGGCGAAGCCGTCACCTAGTTGCCTCTAGGTACCGATCGGGCTGTGATTTTTTCTTCGGCGATTGATGGTCGAGTCGTGGTGGGAGTCCCTTCGGGGGCTTTTTCAGTTTGCGGATCGGGCACCTTTTGAGCTAGATGGTACATGCTCTTGCTTCGATTTGAGACTTGATCGGGACGATGCTGTCTTTTGTGAAAGCAGTGTGCTTGTGAGAGTGACGATTCTTCAGCAGCTGCAATCTTCGGTGCAGTCTGGAGTGGTGACGCCATTGGCCATTGATAACCCACAACGTAAGGCGCTTCTACGGATGAGCCCAATGAACTGGGCTACTCTTGGTGCCCATTGTGAAACGATGAGGGCTTTGTGGACCCAAGTCAAGGTCTCAGATGACATTGTTATCTTGGATTCGACACAAGGGCCAGCCTTTTTGGCTGGTGACGTAGCTCTTAGAACTGACTCGGTGGTTCAATTGGCAGAGATTTTCAGTGGAGGCTTTGCTGGATGGACGCAGGCAGCTTGGTCACTTCAGGATGCAGGGGTCGCGCTCAGAACTAGTTGGCTGCTCGACATTGAGGATGATTATCAGGCCCCGCTTGAGACTCTGCTGCCTTCCTTGCAAACAGTACAGACAGTTGAAGAGCTTGAGGACCTTTCCGATACCACTGAACCGGTGTTCTTGTTGGCCAACTTTGAGCATTTCTGGTGGCATAGGGTGTGGGCAACACTTCCTCCCGACATGGTGGTGTGCTCACCACCCTGTCAGCCATGGAGTGCTGCAGGAGCGCAAAGTGGGCTCGACAGCCCAGACGGGCGCCTGATTCTTCAGCTGATTGCCATCTTGAGGGTTGTCAGGGTTCCGGTTGTCTGTTTGGAGGAGGTTCCAGGGTTCCCTCTTCATAAGGACTTTCAGGAGATCCATAAGGCTTGGACCGAGGCTGGTTATGTTTGCATTCTCCGTGAAGAATTGCAGCTTGCAGAGGTTGCACCGACTTGGCGCAAACGTTACATGATGGTTTTTGTGCATACCCAGCGTCTGCCCCAGGCTTGTCAAATGTTGCCCTTCCAGGCGTGGGTGCCGCACCCACGCCCGTCATTGTCGGGCATGAAAGCCTACTTTCATATCCTGCCTGCCGACATTGTGCGCCCTTGTCAGGTCAACAAAGAGGTGTTAGACGTGTACATGGATCCATGGTACCTTCCACCCTGGGGACGGCATGACCATGATGCTGTTTGCAAGTATCGGCTGTGTGCCCCGACGCAGCAAGCCCGCACCTTCATGGCCTCCTACCACAGGCAGCACCAGCTGCCACAAGGGATGTTAGAGCGTAAAGGGTTACTTTGCAGCTTGCTAAGGGTGAAAGACACAGTTCGGTTTTTCTCCGCGCCTGAGATAGCCTCGTGCCACGGGGCACAGCGACAGCAGCTTTTCCTCGCGGACGATGAACGGTGTATGCGGTACTTGGGTAATGCATTGGCCGTCCCTCAGGCAACAGTGATCCTCGCCCATGCCGTCAAATGCTTTCCCCACCTGCGCCATATTGCCCCAGCAGAAGCTGTGCAGCTGACCATTGCGAGCCGCCTGCATGCTGCAAACTCAGCCCTCTTTCGGGTTAGGGCTGGTTGGTTGATGGTTCGGGCTGATAGGCTAGGCGTAGCACTGGCGCAGGCCAGTTTACGACTGCAAATCGAAGGCCTTATGTGCAGCAGAGGCCAGATCTTCCACGAGCTTCATCTGGGCGAGTGGCTGGAGCCGACTGGTTTCTCTGCACAGCAAATCATACCGTTCACATGCCATCTCACCTTGGAGAATGTGCTACAGTGCCTGGGTCTGTCGACACCACAGGAAATACCAGTGCCGCTGCAGACTGCTTCTGCAAAAGTGTACCAGGTTGCTGTGGACGAACTGCCCACACTTGACCTCGAAGTGCGGACGCATTGTCCCAGTCAAGGCTTGAGGCCGCACCGAGTGTTTGCAGCTCCGGGCCAGTTCGTGTGCTTGGCAGGTGCTCCGGATTTCTTTCATCAGCTCAAGTGGATTTTCGATAAGTGCCGGTTGCCCGACTCCCCGAGGGTGGTTTGTCTCTCGTGTTTCGGGGACAAGTACACCGATGCGGCTCACTTGCCAAAGCATTTCTTTGTAGCCTCCGATGCAGATAACATCCATCAGCATGCCCCCACTTTTACTGCTGCGCAGGTTGAGGACTGTGCAGTATCGGATCATGCTGACGGACTGCTGTTGCGAGTTGGCCAGGACAGCGCATGTGAATGGGCTCTGCAGGCGCCTTACCACTTGTTTGAATGTGTTGGGTGGTCTTTGTCACCCTTTGCAGGGGCCCCGACTGATGCATCCTCTTTCTGCCTGCTGGCCGCCCCCTTCGCCGAAGGACAGGTTGCATCGACTGACACCATCCGGGGCTATCTGCGGGACCTTTTGTTCCTTGCACAACTGCGTCACCGTGGTTCCGACTCTGCGGCCGGCCCCTTTGTCTTACAGGTGCAGACGCGTACACTGTGCCACTTGTCCCTTCCTTCTGACTTCACTCCACACCGTTTGGAGGATGCGTGGCATCGTGCCAGTGTCGCCACAGGCTGCTGGCCAGTTGCTAGGGTCTTCTCTGGCCCACGTTACTTGCCGCATGATGAAAGGTTTGTGGACCTCTTGCAGGAGGATGCTCTTCATGTTCAGTCTGCTTCAGGACGCCCGGTCTTGTCAATTTTTCCGGAAACTCGCGGCGGGGGTGTCAAAGATGAAAACCAGCAGCTGGCCAAGACTAAGATTGCCACCCTCCTGTTGGAGAGAGGGGTTCCTCTACCGCAAACAACTGTGGCTGTTGATAATTTGCTTGCTGCTGCCGGCGCCGCCCCTTGTCTTGCTGCCATGTCTTTATCCGGCTCAGCGGCCCAGTGGCGCCAGCTGAATGTACATGCAAAGGCTGTGGGTGTGCCTCTTCCTCTGGGGGACAACCGCACCGAGAGGGCAGCTCAACGAATACAGCAGGCCATACGCCGTCGTAAGCTGGCACAGGCTGCCCCCATCGCCGCCAATGACTTCTGCTTGGTTGAAGGCACCTGGTGTGGAGTTGATGGACAATCGGTTGCCGTGTTGGATTCCATTGGCCCTGGCGCCAACGGCGTCATCCTCATGGAGCCTAGCCAGGCTAATCCACAGGACATTGCCCTTCTTTGCAACATGGGCGCTGAGGCCTTGTGCGTCGTGGTCCCTGGCCACAACTGCCCCGATCCTGAGTCGTGCAGTGGCAAAGCCAGTGTGCCAGTTGAGCATCGACAGACGCACTGCAAACATCTGCTCGCTGTGTGCTACCATAATGTTGGCGACACTGCAATTGAGCCTTACGTGGAGCATGGTTCCCAGGTTGAGCTGGCTGGCACTGTCTGCTGCACCTTGCTTATGTACCGGGATGAATGCCCAACCGAAGAGGCATGGCAAGAGGCCGTACAGGCCCCGGTGCGTACCGTCGCTCAGGCTTTCAAGGCCAATGGGATGCCCAATCCTTTTTCCCATCCGTGGGGTCGAGCCTTTCGCGCCAATGGCCGGCCCAGTCAGCCTGCGCACTGCGATGTCTTTCTCTTCCAGGCCAAGGTCGAAGAAGGGCACTTGCGGCAGTTACTCCGCCTCAGCGGCTTCAACAAGGTTTATGTCGTGCCCAAGGGGTGGAACCGTGCAGTCCTGGAAGGTTGGTCGGTGGTTTGGTTGTCCGGTCCCCGTGGTGACATTGAACGCCAGGCCGCCCTCATGCCCGAACAGCACGGTTTGGTACGAGGGAAAAGTCGCTTCGGAATACGGGTTCCTGGCCACGACTTTGAGCGACTCTTTCGGCAGCTTCGGCCCGGAGTTGCTGTCCCTGACTCCTTCGATGTGCGGACTCTTTTCAAGGTGGGGCCTCTGCCACCTGGTGCCACTGCTGATGCTGTTTTGCAGTGGGCAAAGAAGCTCCATTGGAGGCTACGAGTTCTGAAAACACTGGGCCCACAGTTCTGGCTCGTCGGCACAGATGGCCCCCCGCCTTCAGAAACCTTGACTTTCAATCAGACGCCAGTGCTGGTAACACCTGTGCGAGGACGTGAAACACCGCTGCCCGTCCTGCAAGCTGGTGGGCCCCTGCCGACATCTCGCAAAAGCCCCCAGACAACTGACAGTGCTGATCCCTGGCTGCATAGTGATCCGTGGAGCACGTACCGCGCCTCGCAATCATTGGGCTCCGCTGCTCCAACTGCTCAAGCCTCGCACACAACTGCCGCTGCCCCACGAGCCATCGATGCACAGCTGCAGGGCCAGTTGCAAGCCCAGGAACACCGTTTGAATGACCTGGAGAAGTCACTGCAGGGTCTACGTGATGACCAGGCGGCTGCGGCCCGTGAGCGTGCCGTGGATAAACAGCAAGCCCATCAGGATCTTGCTGCCGTGCGCACAGAGGTGCAGGGTTTAGGCGTAGGACTTCGCCAACAGCTACAATGTCAGATGGACAGTTACGCCGCTGCACAGAAGCTCCACGAGCAACAGATGACTGCGGGCATGGAGGAACTCAAGGCCTTGATCATGTCCACGGCTGATGTGCGGAAGGCCCGCAAACTGCCTGCCGACGACTTGTGACTATTCCGCGGCCCGAGGGGACAGGCTACCAGTGCCCTGCGGCTACTGCGAGGCCTGATTGTGGGTATAACAGCACCTGTAGGTGTTGTGACGGTGCCGCTGCATTGCCATAGCGGCGCTCAGTTTTTGCACCGACCTTTTCAGTTTTTTGATTGTCCCGCAGAACTCGTTGAAGGTGCCCTCCTGGCCCCGGCTGTTCTGCCCGCCGGCCTCATGGCAGGGGTATGTCCAGAGGCCTTTTCGCTCACGTTGCCGCCCACGTTCCAGGCAACCAGTTACCAGGATCTTTCACTTTGCCGCTCTGAAGCAAGCATAAGCCTTTCTTTGAGCCCTTTCGCCGTGCCCTCCTCTTTGAGGCTTTGTTCCCGCGCTGATGCCCGCCTGTGCAGGCCGACCTCTCCCGCTATCAGCGAACTTGATCTGGTCCCCCAGCTCGTGAGCTGGACGGTGCCGCTGTCTTTCCCTGGTGGTGGGCAGCCCTGGTGCCGTCTTTTCCGTTCTCTTGCGCGTACTATTGCGACTGTCGAAGACTTTCGCCCTGTGCCGAATCTCACCTTTGCAACTACCCCGGCCACCTATCATTTCAGACTGTGTGCGTCGGCCCCATTCACGGCCCCCCTGGTGCACAGGGGTTTTCGCCCTTTCCTTCCTGGACCCGGTGTCCTGCGCAAATGTCCTTCTGGGTTAGGGCTTCCTGCAAGCTGCCCAGACAACCGCTCTCTGTGTGTCTTCTCCGAGATGTGCCGGTGCGATCACTGGACCTGCTGTTGGAGCGCAACTGGCAATGCGGTGCCCTCCCCTACCACAGGGTTGTGGCGGCCTAATTTGTACTGTGCCATGCGTGTTGGCGAGGCCTTGCATCCTGGCCCGGAGGCCAAACAGGCTCGTCTGGACTGCTACTTTAAAGCTGCCGCTGCCCCAGTGCCTCCGGCTTCGCCTCCTGAAGATGGCTCTTGTGTCTTTGTGGTGGCAAACCCCACCAGTGTCCTCCACAAGGTTCCTCTCTTCCTGCAAACCGGTGCAGATGTGTTGGCCCTTTCGGAGACCTCGGCTGTTGCTCAGGTTCAGAGTCTCACGCAGCGTGCTTTCAAGAAACACGGCTTCAAGGTTCATTGGGGTTGCGCGGTCCCGAGTCATGGTCGCGAGGATAGTGCACTGCCTTCACTCCGGGGCATGGCCGCCGGAGTGGCCTTGGCTTCGCGCCTGCCGAGCCGGGCGTCACGTCCCGCCCTTCCCCGCGAGCTCACTGATTCTTGTCGACTGGCCGAGGCCTGGATTCGTCTAGGGGCCCTCGAGGTGCGTGTTTTGACGGTGTATGGTTTTCCCAGATCTTATACTGATGCCCGACAACTGACACAAGACTTGCTGGCTACTGCGGCTGAAAGGGCTTCCCAGAACGCCATACCATGCATCATCGCAGGCGACTTTAACGTTGCTCCTTTGGATTTGCCTGCCGGAGCCGCTTTGGCCTCCATGGGCTACCAGGAAGTATTCTCTCTCCACCACAACATGCATGGCGAGCAACTCCCGGCCACCTGCAAAGGCGCCACGCGCTACGATACTGCCCTCCTGCACCCGGCCCTGGTGCCCCTTTTCCGAAAGGCCTGGGTCCTGTCCGACCGGCAGTTGTTCGATGCACATGATCCCTTGTGTTTTCGCTTGGCGTTGTGTGCCCAGCGGCCCTGCCGGTCAGTGTGGCGTTTACCGCGACCTTGGAGCGAGCTTTCCCTTAATAAGGAGTCTTTCGCAGAGGCTTTTCGCCCCGCTGCTGCTAGCCTTTGCCAACAGGCCACATCATGTGCTACGGTGGCCGACGTTGATGCAGCTTTGCTTTCCTTTTCCCAGGCCGCCGAAACAGCTGCTCAAAAGGCATTGTATCAACAACATGTGAAGGACCCTTTGCGGGCGCCTGTCTCCAGTCTGCCCAAGGCCTACCGTGGGCGCTGCCAGAATCGTCCTGCCATACGGCGTGAGTTGGCCCAGTTGGCCCCGCCGGACCGCTCAGGGGGCTATGTTCCCGATGTGGAAGTCACTTCAGTGCTGGGTCGTATGAAGGTCCGTCAGGTCCGCCGCGTCCGCACCTTACGGTCTGGCCTGGTCAAACTGGCCGGTCTTGGTCCCTCCGCCGCGACTGCTGCGCTGCGCGAGCAGCTTCGGAAGGAATGGCGGGCCATTCTGTCTGCCAAAGGCTATCCGCCCCGGTTCTCCCATTGGGTTCTGCAGATTGCATGTTTTCACCACGTGCCTCACGGCCTGCCATCAATTGAGTGGATTACTTTGCTGGCACAGTATCTCCAGCACGACTGTGATAGTCTAGTGCGGCAACAAGCCAAGCTCCGCAAGGACAACTTCCATTACCAGATGCAAGTTGATGCCACTGACAGTTATGGTCGTGCTGGTTACCGGGCCCTGCGTGCCGAGGCAAACCCTCCTTTCACAGAGGTCCCACATTCCATCCTTGCCGAGGTTGAGGTGTGTTCCGGGTCTGAGACTTCTACATACAGGGTCCAGCCTGCCCCCGCGCGGCCTTTCCGGATACCCGGCCCCGCCAGCATCGGCGACGTTCCATGTCAACTTCTGGCCTGCAAGGATGGGTGTCTCTACCTGCAAGGCTCTTCCCTGCCTTCTCGCGGCATTCTGCGTCAGGACATTGTTGCATGCACCTCTGAAGAGTTGCACGATGCCTTTGAGGCCTATTGGTGCCCAATTTGGCAGCGGGATAATGGCCTCCCTTCAAAGTCGGTTGCTGCCTGGCCAGACTTTGCAAGCTTTATGGCTGAACAGACGGTGCTGCCCAAACTCCACGTGCGATCTTTTGCCCCGGATCTGTGGCTGCGAGCCATCAAGCGGTTGCGTGCTGCTACTGCCACCGGCATTTGTGGCTGGAATGCCGGTGATCTTAAGCTCCTCTCTGAGGAAGCAGTGACAGTGCTTGCCCATATTTTCCACCAGGCGGTGACGTGTGGTCTGCCAGATCATATCCTGCGGGCCAGAGTTTGTGTTCTGGCCAAGGTCAGGTCTCCTGAGAACATGGGCCAGGGTCGCCCCATAACAGTCTTTTCCACGATTTATCGTGTCTGGGGTTCAGTCCTTGCCCGTCAGGTGCTGAGGGAGTGGTCCACTGTTTTCCCGGCCGCGGTCGCGGGCTCAATGCCGGGCATTGCGTGCCGCGATGTCAGCTATCGGCTGCAGCATCGCATCGAACAGTCATTGCTTGGGGGCCCGTGCCTGTACGGATGCTCCATTGACCTCATCAAAGCGTTCAACCAGTTGCCCTGGGTGCCAATTGCCACTATGATGTGTCATCTGGGTCTTGATGAGGACATCGTCCGCTTTTGGATTGCCTGTGTCCGAGGCCACACCCGCCATACATCCTTTGCTGGTTGCCTCTCGACCCCAATACACAGCTACAATGGAGCCCCTGAAGGTGATCCTTTTAGCGTCGTGGCCATGGCGGCCGTCTGTTATTGGGGGCACGTTGCCGTGCGAGCCACCTCAGTCACATTCGAAACCTACGTCGACAACTGGAGCTGGTCCAGCCAGTCTACAGCTGCCATAACTGCTGCAGTCCCACTGTCGCTGCAATTCCTGCGTTCGCTGGCCTTGCCTGTCGATGGTGCCAAGTCCTACGTTTGGGCCACAAAACGTCATGGCCGCATCTGGTGGCGCACCAATAAGGATCGGTTGTTCCCTGACCTCCCTGTCAAAACTGTCACGGAAGTCCGCGACCTCGGCATCGCTTTTAAGTTTGACCGTGCCGGTCACGCAAGTGCGCGACGACACAGACTTGAGGCAGGCTTGCAGAGCATCGACCGGTTGCGCCAAATGCCCCGTCCCGTGATAGAGCGCGCTGCCTTGCTGCAACGCAGTATCTGGCCTGCCTGTCTTTATGGCTGTGAGGGCACGATGCATACACAGGCTGACCTCCAACTCCTGAGGGGACGTGCCGCCCGTGCTGTGGTGGGCCCACATCAGATTCTGAGTCCTCATATTGCCCTCTCCGCGGTGACCTCAGGGGTTCAGGATCCTCAGGTTTACTGCTTGCTGCGGCAGTTGAGTGCTCTGCAACGGGCTTTCCGAGTTGATGTGGATACCGCTGTGTCCGTCTTGCATTTGGCCACAGAACAGCTCGACGTACGTGCCAGTCACGGGCCGGCCACTGCTCTGAAGCTGTCTCTGTGCAGGGTGGGCTTGTCATTGACGAAAGAGGGGGTGCTCAAAGGCCCTAACAACCATTGGGTGGACCTCACTGCTTGCCGCCTCTCTCAACTGAGTGACCTGGTGCGAACTGCGTGGTCCTATCATGTCCAGGACCTGACCGGACACCGTAATGGACTGGCCTCCGCGCCCCCTGCCTACTTACCGCTCACCACCACTTTGTTCGGGCGTCTCACGGGAAATGAGCAGCTGATCATTGCCCGGCACATCGCGGGGGGGTTCTCTTCCAGTGCTGCCAAGAGCAAGTGGTGTGTGGCCGTCGATGGAACATGTCCATTGTGTGGCCAAATGCAGACAAAGGCCCATAAGTTCCTGCACTGTAGCAAGCTGGCGCATGTCCGCGCTGATTGGACTGACACGTTGCAACTGGTGACTGAGGCCTACCCTCACTGGATCCATGGCCCGTTTGCTGTTTTGCCTGATAGCACTGAGGTTCTTCGCCTGATCTTTCAGACGCGACAGTTGCCTGCTACACCGCAGCTGCCCCCAAATTGCCACCTGCCTGGCCCTCGAGGCTACTTCCGGCTGTTCACAGACGGCTCCTGCCTTTTCCCGGAGCATGCTCCTTTCCGCCGAGCTTCTTTTGCGGTCATTCTCGATACCACAACCGCCGATTTCGAGATACCCCTGGAACTGCAGAAGTGGCGGGAGAACCAGGTCTTGCCGGATAAGTTCCATGTCTTGTCTCAGGGCTTTGTGCCAGGTGAACAAACCATCAATCGGGCGGAAATCTGTGCCGTTATCATGGCTGCCCGGTTCGTGTGCGACCAGAGCATCCCAAAGGCGGTGATCTTTACAGATAGCCAGGTTGCCATCGATGCCTGGCAAAAAGCTCTGGACAAGGAGGCTGGCCCCTGGCCTGACCTTGATTTCCTGCTTCAGCAGGTTGCTTGCTCCGATGTGCAGTTGCAGAAGGTCGAGGCTCACCAACGACTAGACAAACTGTGGGGCATGCCACAGTGGTTTGCAGCAGGGAATGAGGTCGCTGATGCCGCCGCTAAAGCAGCGTTGTCCCGCGAGTCCCAAGTGGTCCAAGACATTGCGGCTGCTGGTCACGACAGCCTCCTACAACAGCACGACTTGCTCTGGTTGTTCTGGCGATATTTGCTGCGTCTGTCCCAGGAAGAGTACAGATTGCTTCAACAGGTGCCTACAACAGCCCCGACGAGCAGCGCTACAGATATCTCCAGCTCTGTTGAGCTGCCAGATCTGACAAGTTGGATGCAGCAGGACCCAGGACCTTTTCAAGTTCTTCAACTTCCGCAAGTTCACCGCGAGTGGTTGTTGTGCTCATATTGGCCGCCGTGGTTTACGTTGCCACTGTGGGAATGGTTGCGCGCCAGTGCATGGTCCGTACATCGACATTCGCACAGAACCCCGCCAGGTACGGCGTACATTGAGATGTTGATTGATTTTGCCATCTGTACCAGGGTTTGCCCTCCGGATTCTCTGGAGTCTGGCGGGCGAACATCTGTGGCGCTGATAGTGACGAATCAACTCCTGGCCCCGAGATCTTTGGTGCAGAGCTTGGTGGCTGCAGTAAAGCAACTGGAACGTAGCTCTAGGTTGCAGCTGATGCCCCGCCGACGCAAGAAAGTCTTCGCTCTTCGACGGCTGGGTTTCTGTGAGCCCCGCATCGGAATCGACGCCCGGCTTCAGATTCGTGAGCCTGAAATAGTGGGACCACTTGTCTTCCAGGTGTTGGCCGAGAGTAGTTTCCGACCGGTTACTGATTTTCTCAAAAAACGAGAACCTCCTGTTCCGGTTGATGCTTGCCTCCAGAAAACCTGGTCGCAGATGACTGGCACCGAGAGGGCCAAAATGGCCCGCTCGCTGCGCAGGTGACGCTTCGACACGAGGAACTTCGGGGTGTGGAGTCGCAGCTGCTGGCCCACTGCCCCTTTTCAGCCGGTGAAAGGTTCAGGGTTT